TAGCCCTCCTACTTGCGACGGTGCTACTGTGGACAGCTAGTAATTTTCTCGCGAGCGTACGTATCTCGCATCCCCTGGGACGGCATGGGTAGTGGTAAGCGCATAGCTGACAACGGAACAGACAATATTCGCAGACGATTCCTACTCGAAACCCTACCTCGTAACATACGTAAACACAACATTCTTCGTCATCCCTCTCCTACCCATGTTCCTCCACCACCTATGGGTCGACCGTCACCGTCCGAACAGCGCGCGGCAGCACCGCCAACCTCTCCTAGCACACGCACGCGACCTCTTGCAACGGCGAGCAGGGAAATGGAAGCTCCTCCGCGAACACGAGACCCCCTCTTCGACCTCAGCCTCGAACAAAGCTCGCAATGACGAGGCAACCGAAGTCCTGCTATCATCCTCGCTGCACGGCTCCCAAAGTTTCGCAACCGGGAAAACTGGTGGTCAGGACGAGGACGACGGCTTGACGATAAGAGATACAGCGAAACTGGCGCTGGAGTTCTGTCTCCTTTGGTTCCTGGCAAACTACTTTGCGGCCGCCTGTCTAGAGTACACAACCGTCGCAAGCTCTACCATCCTCTCTTCCACGTCCTCCATCTGGACCCTACTTCTGGGATCAATAATGCGCGTCGAGCGCTTCACGCTGCTCAAGTTCCTCGGCGTACTCGCGTCTCTCGGCGGTGTAGCCCTCATCTCCATGGTCGACGTATCCGGCGAGACAGACGAGAACCGCGGTTCCTTCCCGCACAAGACACCAAAAGAATTAGCCATTGGCGACGTCATGGCCTTTGTGTCGGCTGTACTATACGGTTTCTACACAGTCTTCATGAAATCCCGAATTGGCGACGAGACAAAGGTCAACATGCCTCTCTTCTTCGGCCTCGTTGGATTGTCTAACATCCTGCTCCTCTGGCCTGGTTTCATCATTCTGCATCTCACCGGCATAGAACCTTTTGAGCTCCCGCCCACATCGCGCATCCTCAACATCGTGCTCATCAACAGCGCGTCATCTCTCGTGTCCGACTTTTGCTGGGCGTACGCCATGCTGCTTACTTCCCCGCTGATTGTCACTGTTGGTCTTAGTTTGACCATTCCGTGCAGTTTGGTTGGGCAAATGCTGTTGGACTCGCAGTATGCATCGGCGTTGTATTGGGTCGGCGCGGCGATCATGGTGCTCTCCTTCTTGTTTATCAACCATGAGGATCGGAGAGATGAAGCAGAGGGACTGCAGGGCGCGGATGATGCTGTGACGGAGGTGCAGAGGGGCTTTCAGAGTATAAGACAGAGTCTGGGTCGAAGGAATTCGAGGACGGACGTTTGATGTCGGATACCTGGGTCGCATACTCAACCTGTTCATACACATTTTTTTTGAACAATTCTCCATAGCCAAATACCAAAGTCATTCTTATTGGTTCATGGGGTATCATAATGCAAGTCATAGTAGTACCAATCCCTCATTTCCGTCCACCGTCCATGTTTTTTGAGTACCCATTCCGTCCATACTTCCCCTTACCCTTCGAGTTCCACTTCTTACCACCGCCCTTGTAACTCTTCTCCCGGTCATTGTCTTTCCTCTGCTCCATCAGATCTTTCTTCCTCCCCTCCCAACTCTCGTCGTCGTCCAGTTCCTCAATTGACCAACCCTCCTTCTCCATGAACTCTTCGAGTTGCTTCTGAAGTTGGGGCTCCCACTTCGATTGGTCTTCCAGATCCGTGTATTCTAGGACGTTCTGGCCGAGCGTGTAGTCGCCCTGGCGAGAGCGGATGAGAGACGACATGAGGCCGAGCGAGTTACAGGCTAGACCGAGGTCGTGGCAAAGAGAGCGTACGTAGAAGCCAGATGTTACTGTCATACGAAGACGGGCTGCTGGGGGTTGCGGAGTGGGCGCAGACGTAGCTGATGATGCGGTAGCGTCGGTGGGTTCAGCGGCGTTATCCTGGGTGATTGTTGATGTGTTTTCGGTTGCTTCAGCTTGCTCCACTGAGGCTACAGGCTTCTCTTCTGTTGGTAGTGATGCTTCGACACTGGCGTCTGTGACTTCGTTCTCCGCGGGGGTCTCCTCAATGGGTGCTACCTCTGCTGGTAAAGCGCCAGACATGGCGGGCTCGGAGTCTGTCTTAGGTATCTTCGGTTGCTGACCTGCGCCTTCAACGTGGTCGTTTTCTGGCGACCTCGATCGTTTCCGTCCTCTTCTCGCCGCTGTATCGGAGTAGACTTTCGCGTCTTCTTTCCGGATACCCATCAGCTTCTTTGCGCCCTCCATCTCAGCACCATCCACCTCCTCCTTTGGCCAGACAAAGTCATGACTTCCGGGTTCCAACCACTCGACAAGCTCCAGCTCTTCTACTTCGACCGGTCGCGCAGCCACCTCTGGTATGTCCTTGCCCTCTCTAGCGTATTCATACATCTTCTTGCCGTCAACCTTGAGTGCAGAGAAGACGCTTGGCTTTTGCAAGATCTTGCCGCGAAATTGCGCTAGCTTCTCCTCTACCAATTCCTTTGTGACATGCTCGTACTCCGCCTTGCCGACAACCTTGCCTACAGCATCGTAGCTGTCTGTCGCCGCGCCAAACAGTACCACGCATTCGTATGTCTTCGTGCACTCTAGGAAGCGTTGTAAGCATTTTGTGCCCTTGCCCATGCCGACAATCAAGACGCCAGTAGCCATTGGATCGAGGGTACCGCCATGACCGAGTTTCGCTTTGATATTCTTGAGGTGTTTGGGCTTAGCGTCCGCGATGATGAGGGAGCGTTTCTGGGCTTCGAGCCAGGGTGCGAAGAGCGGCGAGCGAGAGAAGTGGTCTTGGAGGTCGCGCAAGACGCCGGCGGAGGAGGCCCATTGCGGCTTGTTGATGGCGAAGATACCTTCGAGCACCTTGCGACTCTCGGTCGGTGGAGTAGTCATAATCGCGCGCTTTATCGAAGACGCGACTGGCATCAGCGGGGTGATAGAAGGAAGCTCGGAGCTCTAGCTACTAGGGTGGGAAGTATTGGGGCCACTAGATGTTAACAGAACTTGTGTTGCCTACAGCCTACACAGAGATATATATATTCCAAAATCAGGCTGGAGTGTACATCATCTTGTGTGCTACTTGATTGTCAAAATATAATACAATGTATGCGGTAACGCGAAATTTCGTAGCCGTTCCGAGAATACCTACGCGCCAAGCCGGAAGGCGCGCTAGTGGGCGATCATCTCACATGTTTCTACGGCTGCCTCGCGCTTGCGCTATTCACATCTACTTGCGACTTTCGTCTCCCCTCTCGATCCCACGCGCCAACGTCCCGCTCTGGGCCCCTTACTGCTCGCGTATACCTTGGTCTACCGACATCATGAGCGACACCAACAAGGACCTCGAAGATCTCGCGAAATCAACCACCGAGGATTTCTACGAGTTACTTGGTGTAGCCTTCGATGCGCCGGAAGCTGCAATCAAGAAGGCTTACCGTAAAGCCTCGATTCGCTACCATCCCGATAAAAACCCCGACAACAAAGATGCTGCGGATCGCTTTATTTACCTTGGATGGGCTCGAGATATCCTCATAGACGAGAAGCTAAAGGGCGAATATGACCGCGCGCGTACCAGGCGGCGGGAGAAAGTGCTCCAGGATGAGCTATTGGACGGTCGGCGGCGCAAAATGAAGGATGACCTGGAAAGGAGGGAGCGAGAGGGCAAGGACTTCATGAATAACCTAAAGAGGAAGAGGGCAGAAGACATGAACGAGGCGGAAAGAAGAGAACAGGAGATACAAAGATTAGCCGAAGATGGCAAGAGGCGCAGAAAGGAGGCACAAGAGCGCATGGAGAAGAAGCGCAAAGAAGAGGATGAGGCAAGCTTCGTGGACGTAAGCCCTGAGCCACAGGCACCCAAGCCTGGAGACTCCGCCGAGATCGATCGCACAGTCAAGGTCCGATTCCAGCGAGAAGGCGACGCTACAAACTGGGACAAAGACAAGATATCGAGCATGTTTGCGAAATACGGCAAGATCGACAGCGTCGTCATGGGCAAGGACAAGAAGATCCGATCATCGGGAGAGAAGCACCGCAAGGTCATCGCCATTGTGTTTATCATCTATACACGTCTCGATCACGCGCACGCCGCTGTCCTGGACGGAAAGTCCGACTACCCGTCGCTCGAATCCGTGGCTTGGGCGAACGGCGAGCCCGACCTCAAATCACCAACCAACGACGCGCCCTCAGCGCCGTCAACACCTATATCTACGCCGAAGAACCAATCCTTCAGGTCGTCGTTTGGACCTGGCATAGGGAAGGGCGTTGGAAGTACCACGCCACTAGGAACACCAAAGTTCTCTTTCAGCCCGAAGACACATAGTTTGGAGGAGGTTACTATGATGAGATTGAAGCAAGCAGAGAAGAAGCGGCTGGAAGATCAGATACGCAAGCAGGAGGCTGCCGAGGAGGCTGCGGTTTGATGAGATGACTTGATGAATTCGTTGTGTTAATCCAAGATACCCACTATTAGTATAATTTAATTTGCCGGATACATTGACGTTCTCCATAGTTTATGCTGCTTTCAAATCGTGATGTATCCGCCCGGAGGCACTATGGATCTTCTAGGCAATACCTATGTGCAATATCGAAGACCTCAAAGATGAAAACATGTGCTCTTCCGGAAATGGCCTTTCCCATGTCGTCGCAAAAGTTAGATCTGGTATAGCTACATTTTCCAAGGAACCCTTCAGTCGTATATCGGTTTGCTGACTACATAGACTTGGATGCAACACTTTCTACCTTATAGATTGTGTTGTAGGCTGCAGCGCTTCTAATACGTTTGGCTTTCGAGTGACGCAAGTGACCTCGGGAAGCAGCTATCGATAACACGCCTTTGACCCTGGACGCGCATCCCGTCTCGCGCCCTTCGCGCCCGCCCGCATTGCTCAATCCCACTACTTCTTTTACCTGACCTTGGACAGGCAGCTCTGTTTTGTAACACCGCAGCATGCAGTATACCCGAGATTATTTCTTAAGATGCCGACCCCAGAATCCGAGATACTGAAGCCACTCGACGCCTCCAACACCAATTCCGACGACTGGGAGATCTTTGTCCTGAGCGATGCGCGCATCGTCTTCGAAAGCAATGGCAAGCCTACGAGCCTTCTTGCTGCGTATGCAGACACCCCACTCCGCGTGGAAGGGCGACTGGAGACTCCAGGGCGTAGCCAGCTGAAATACCGTATGTGAGACATGCTTGTCGGCTGTCGGACGCGACGACTAAGCAAAGCGCTCTGGCTAACGCGACTGCAGTTTTGAAGAAACCGTACAAGCCCATGGAAATCGAAATACAACATGTGACGCGCTTCTCCTACGGCGAAATGACCGACGGCGCATACGTAATTTGGGCACAAGGCCAGGCAGGCTGGTTCGAGATACGACCGACCGCGCAGTACAAGCCCATCTACGACCAGATGGTCCAGGCTGTGGAACTTCTATACTTTGTCACAGACATATACGGCGAGTCGCGGAAGAAGAGTAGCGGGCCCAGTGCTGAGCTGGTCTTCCAAGAGGTCAGCATGTCTTAGAATCATGCAACATTGTGGCGCTAACACGACACAGTATGCAGAGGACGAGCGCTTTCCTTGCAACGATGTGGCCACGGCTGAGAGACTATTCGACCAACATCATCTGTTCCTCATGATGTGCTTTCTGAACAAAGCCCAGGGACTGAGCTGGAGTAACACGCCTATCTATCAACGTTTCAGACGGCGGTTTCCGGTAGGAAGCATGGAGCTCGAACATGTGCCGAATCTAACGTACGTCTAGAAAGACTTCGATAACTGTAAGGCACGGATCGAAGGGCGCTATTCTCAGATCCAACCCGAACGCTCAGTGAGGACCCAGAAGTCCGCATCTGCACCAATGGCAGCTTCCAAAACGGCACAAGCGAATGCGACACCGAAACCAACGGAAGCGCCGAAGAAAGACGACAATTGGTGGGAGGCGGCCGCACTCTTCGAATTTATGCAGAAAGCAGTGAACCAACGGGTTCTACGAGCAGGACGGAATCACATAACGGTGGATCGCGTTGCCGAACTCATTGTCAGGCGATACGAGATTGAGGAAGTGGACACTGCGAAGAATGTGCTTCTGGTACACGCACAGAATCTGTGCTACATGATGGACCACCCGCGGCGGAAGAACATACAATTCTTTGCCGCCGAACCTATATATCAAGAGCTGTCAGCCGGCCACACACTTCCCGCAGCCGAACAACGGCGAGCTGAAGGGGTGGAACTGAAACCACGGAAAGATCACGGAACTCTGAGAGGCGGTGAAAGCGGTTCTTCAGATACGTCTGACGAAGAAGATGACGCCATAACAACACCTGTGCGTAGACCACCGGGTAGACGGAAGCAAGGCCGGCTTTCTGTGCTGAGACCTACGAGTGGAAAGTTTTCTGGCAAGAGCAAAGGGATCAGCATTAAGCCAGGGAGACAGAAAGGCGGAAAGGGAAAAGCACCCGTGCCGGCAAGTGACGACTCGGAAGCCGAGCAAAGCAGCAACGCTACAAGTAGCGATGAAGACGATGAGGAAGAAGGCATCGACACACCAACTCACGCCCTATCACCAGGTCGAGAGAAGAGAAAACTAGACGACACGGACGGTGACCAAGACGAGAAGGATCGACGAAAACGTACAGCCAGTGCATCCATAGCACCTGAGTCTCCACCCACAACTGGCGACTCGGACTCTGCCTCTGAAGGAGTCAGCGCCGTACCACCTCTGCCGCTGCGTAACCGGCCCTCCCATCTCCCTCCCCATGCGAACCCAGCATCATCATCAGGAAACACTAAATCATTAGTGTCACCACCGATAATATCAACACCCTTACCGACATACGAAGCTAATGGCCCCCGCGACTCCTGGATCTGCAATTTCGACGGTTGCACGCAGAAAATCTACGGATGCAGTAAAGAGTTGGGTAGACAATTGATCACAGAACACTTGGAAGATCACAGTCGAGGGCGAGAGAAGGTTGTTGGCATTCTTTGGAGAGAACAGGATAGATTGAATCTGCCTGTTAGGTAAGTCAATGTTTTCGAAGGTGGAGATGCAAGCACAGTAAGCTAACACTTTGACAGCAACTTGATCAAGAAAATCCGCGAAATGAACGAGGCGGCTACGCCGCTGTTCCCGGTGCCTGGTGCTCCGGCGACGGCAGTGCAGCCGAAGCCTATACAAAGACCTGTGTAAATTCAAGGACCTATTCATACTCCCACTTGCTTTGGAATGAAGAGCCCCAGTGACTTGAGTCGTGGTACAATCGTTGACTACTTTTCGGTTTTCTACGTATACCTAAACCGCTTCCTCTTCACATTTTCGCTGCTCGTTTCACAAATATCGTCCAATCTCCTCTTCCCTCTTCTAGTGTCCTTTTTCACACTGTTCTCCTTGTCACCTTCATCTCCCACACGACTTTCAATCCTCTCCCTCACTTTGCCCACACTGTTCACATATCCCATCTCAGCATCATACTCCTCCCAGATCGGACTCGTAACTTCGTACGCCTCTCCCGTGCCGACTTTGACATGCCATTTTGGATGTGGGAAGGGTAGCGCGTGGATGGGCGTTCGAAGGTAGGATTCGGGGTAGGAAATGTCTGTCAAGTGTGTGGTTTGGGGCCAAGATTGGCTGTAATTATAGACGCTGGTGGTGGCAGTGGTGTTGGAGTGTAGTTTAGGTTGCGTTGCTGGAAGGTGAGATTGGTGCTGGCGGCTGGAGGATGGAGACGTTGAAGTAAACCGTTGTATCTCAACTTGATCGTGCATATATAGCGCTTCGTGCATGAAGGCGTCGAGGCCGGATCTGACTTGTGCCATTGGTATCTGAGATCAAGGACTGTTGTGATATGGAGACTGGGAACTGACATTGCGAAAACGCGTGAGCATTTTCTTAACTAGATATCTTCACATATTGAACGATCTCAAAATACGATATACGTCCGAATACGATAGTAAAAGATGCTTGCGGGACATGCTGGTCTTCCGCTCTTTGTCGACCGGATCAAGATGAAGTGCAGACGATGCGGAACAAAGAAGAAAAACGCGCATCGGAATGCATGAACCCAAGAAGGGTAAATTGTTTGAAATTTTGAGCAGATATGACTCTACTTTATACACTGATTGTTTTGAAAACGTTGAATCCTGATCCTCCTGTAGCCATGATGGCGCCCGGAATCTGCGGGTGCCAGTGCGCCTCCTTGATCTGCTCCATGTAATGCACGAACAGCAATTGCGGTGGCACATCTTGAACGCCTGCTGTATACTTGCTCTCTTCGTCGTCGAGTTCGACAGCCAGATCCCAGAGAGTGAGGGTATTGTCGCCGGCGCATACAAGCACGATGCTGTCGTCTGTGGGATGCCACTCGACTGAGGTGATTTGCTCTTTGTGGAAGGTGTACGACGCAACAGGCGAAGGCTTCTTTTCGCTCGACATGTCGGTAGAGGGCTTCCATTGCCGAAGGTCCCAGACTCCCCACTCGCCGTCGTCTGCACCGGTAGCGAGGAGATGAGCGGTTTGGTGCGACCAACTCAATACGTTGACATCCGTTTTTGAGACTTGTACACTGAGCACTGGCTTCCGCGACTTTGACCGCGCGTCCCAGATCTTGACTGTGCCATCACTCGACGCAGAAGAGAACACGTGCTTCTCGGTTGGTGACCACTGCAGCTCCTCTACTGAGCCACTGTGGCCAGTATATGGCGTGGTGTCAGTGACAAAACCTCCACCCTGTGTCCGTGTTGTCGCAAAGATCTTTCCGGTGCAGTCACCTGTCAGGAGCTTGCCCTCTGGTATCAATGGCGACCAATCTAGCGCATAGCCTTCGTTGGATCCATGTGCGCGAATCGTGCAGACAGGCTTGTTTTGTGTGGGCGAGATGGTGGTACCGGGGGTGTCGAAGGCTGTGAGGTGTGGGGTAACGTCGTGAATCAAGACCTGGCCTGACTCGGTCATGGCGGCGGTAAGGGTCGTAGGAGGCTGTGCGGAGGTGGCTTGCGGTGTTTGGTGGGCACGTATGCGGTTCGTGCAGCTCGTCAACGGTATCGACTTTGTCTCGAGGATAGGATCTGAGGCCTCGTCGTCGGATTCTTCGTCATCGTCCTCTTCATCCTCCTTCTCCATCCGCGACAGGCTGCTCATCTTCATGACCATAATCTGGTTCTCCTTGTCCCTTCCTCGCGCTGCTTGTGTGCCGGCCACTGAGTAGACGGTTGCAGGGTATGTTTTGCGGTCTGCGCCTAGATTGTCGGGTACAATGTCGCATGAGAGACAGGGCCACGGCGCTTCGAGCGCATGAAGCATCTCGTATGTGGAAAGATCGGGGTTCAATGTCTCGCCTGGTGAGAGTTTGTGACGACCGGGAATGAAAGTATCTTGGTCCACATCCATGCCATCTGGGAGCGTTAGTTCTTGGATTTTCGACATTTTCCTCCGGCAACCTACTCTCGCGCTCCTCAGCTTCGCGCTCTTCGTCTGGTCGTCCGTCTACACCTGCCTCGAGAATCTCATCCTCGCTCTCGAATTCATCTTCGAATTCATCCTCAAACTCGCCCGCTTCGTTGTGTTGATCGATTTCCATGGGGCGATCTCCATTTTTGATAGCCTCCTGCTCTTGCTCTGAGTCTGCGGGTCGCTTCGCCATGGTGTGTGAGTGTGTGCGGTTGTGTTTTGGGGTGTCTTGTGGCAGGCGTAAAAAAGTTGGCACTGGAATTTGTCCCGCCAAATGTTTTTTGAGGCGGCTTATCGATCGGCGTATCGGACCACGCTATGACGCCCCCCTCTCTCAGGTGCCCACCGGGGCTGTTGCGTGCATCTCTGGAGCGAAACACTGCGCGCTACCCCCAGTCCAATCGCATCCCGCACATCCCAGGTCAACACCACAGAGGCCGCGCCCATATACTGAGTCTCCCCCTTAAAGTCGCATAGAATTGTTCGAGAAGCAGAGTCGCCAAGAAAGAAGAAAACACATTGTCAGGTTGCATTCACCGTCTTGACGCGTGCCAGCGCGCTTTCAGCTCAGATCAACAACCGCGGGGACGCTGAGACATACTAGCCATGGAGCCAGAATACTCGAGTCAGGAACCCGCGCAGCAGCCCTACGTAGCTGCCACAGAAGTGCAGCACGTACAGCAAGTGCAGCCTGAGCAGCTGCCGCCCCAGCAACTGCAACCCGAGCCCATGCAGCCCGAGCAGGCGCCTATTGAAGCGGAACAGGAAGCGCAGAAGCACATGGACCAGACCATGGACGTCGCCGACGACAGCATGAGTTCGACTATCACCGCCTCGACTGTCACACCGCTACCAGACCTCACCCAGAACGCGAGCCTTAATAACAGTCCCAACCCCTACGAGCAGCCTCACCGACCGTCAACGTCCTACTCAGACACCGCGTACCAGTACACGACACACAACGGGACGCGCTTCAACACATCATCAGACGCCGACACACCTCCACGGCACGGCTACTACGATGCCAATAAAGAAACACACATGGGCCAGTCGCATTCGCGGCCCAGCTCGCAGATGGGACGCTATCCGACTTCGGAGGGCAACACGCGGTCAAACTCATATCAAGACCAGCGAGGGAGCGCCCAACAGCAACAACAGGAGGCCGCCAAAAATGCCAGCGTCGTCATCAAGGTCGGCATGGTCGGGGATGCGCAGATCGGAAAGACCAGTCTGATGGTCAAGTATGTTGAGGGCAGCTGGGACGAAGACTACATCCAAACGCTCGGTGGGTTACACAGGCATGTTTCACAAACTGCAGATTCTGACAACCACAGGCGTCAACTTCATGGAAAAGACCATCTCGATCCGGAACACGGAGATCACCTTCTCCATTTGGGATTTAGGTGGTCAACGTGAATTCGTGAACATGTTGCCGTTGGTCTGCAACGATGCTGTTGCAATACTCTTCATGTTCGACCTGACACGAAAAAGCACATTGAATTCCATCAAAGAGTGGTACAGACAGGGACGCGGTTTCAACAAGACTGCCATCCCGTTTTTGGTTGGCACAAAGTACGACCACTTTGTCAACTTCCCGCGCGAGGAGCAGGAGGAAATATCTAATCAAGTACGAGTCCCTGCCAAAGACAATTCAGAGCCGCAGGACTAACAGCAATTAGGCTAAGCGATTTGCGCGAGCGATGAAGGCCAGTCTAATATTCAGCTCAACCAGCCATAGCATCAACGTGCAGAAGGTGAGAGCTGTCCATACCCATTGCTAAGCCCATGCTGACTCTGCTTCAGATCTTCAAGATCGTGCTATCCAAAGCCTTTGATCTGAAATGCACAATCCCCGAGATAGAAAATATTGGCGAACCCTTACTCCTCTACCAGGCCGTTTAGTCGCCGGCAGACCGTAGAGTCAGGCCCAGGACAGAGGGAACACGTATGAACCTGTCCGAGGGTCAGATTGGGCGCGTCTTCTACCGAAACGTTACCATGAGCGAATGATTTTCATGACTGTTTTGCGTGGGATTGCATGGCTCGGCGATTGGAGCAAGGTGCTAGATACATGGTTGGTCCAAAACCGGCGTTCTTCTGCTTGTATATGCGGAAGCGATTGTATGATTCGGGCAGCAAGGCCTCGGCCGGGGCACGGAGTCTAGCGCCGCAGGACGCGCAAGATTTGTAGCTTTACAGCAAACATCCTAGTGTAATACCGACTTGTCAGAATCGACTGCATCTTATTAGGTTTGCGTGACTTCCAATCAACGCGCATAGCGGCAAGTTTAGGCGAATGACGTAAGCTGCCGCAGCTAAAAAGTTACGGATCCCAGCAAGCAACACCAATCAACCCCAGCTCCAAAACCGCGTCTACAGAATTTGCCCCAGCACGAACGAGGTTACAACATCGAGAAACCGGGTCGCAAACCGATTAACACACCGAATATCAAAAGCAACCCATTGCCTTACCAGTAGGGTCGTCGTGGAGGCTGAACAAGAACGACTCGTGGGGATACAATCTTAGAAGAACAGCTTCAACCCACCACCACAATGGCGCTTCCTTCAATAGCGCTCCCAGGGCAACTGCTCGGAAGTGTCGACAAATACAGTCCAGGTCCTGGAACGCACATCCACGACTCGCAAATCTATGCCTCAATAGCTGGACCCGTTTTCTCTTCGCCATCACATCCCTCCACACAAAGCGCATCTTCCAAGTCCGGCAAACTCGCGCCACTCCTCTC